TCTAGACAATCGGCTCATAGATGGCGGTAAGGTTGTCAGCCTTACGCGCCGGCCACCCTTTACCGCCAACAACATTCGAAGAATATTCCTGGTACTTATTTCTGTTAGAGGCTGAGTCGACAACAGGGCCATAGTGAGGCTGGAAGTATTGGGTGAATTGAAAAAATCCAATAACCTCATCGGGATTCGATCCCGCGACCTTCCGGCTTGTAGCATAGTGCCTCAACCAACTACGATACCGCATGCAGCGTCAAATCGTGCCCGATTTCAAGTTTCATGTGTGCGCACTCGCATAACAGCTCATGTACACCGGCGTTATCACCAACAGTTGGGTCGGCGGGCAGTTGAGGCAGAACCCAACTGCTCACCGACTGTTGGAACAGCTATCGTTATGTGTGCGCACTCCCATTAAACGCAGTGGTTCTCGGCGACGTGCCCAACTATCGGCAAACTAAAAATTGCATGTGTGCGCTAGGTCTTAGTCGCACCCCACTAGCAATAAAAAAACCCTTGCGTTACCATAACTGTGTCGTTGCTTTTGATTGTCATCCGCGTGCATGCCCAGTCCTTAGTGTCCATTATTCCCAACTGCAGTTTCCTTCAAGAACGTAACCTGGCCGACAGAGTAGTATTGTCTTCGTTGGTTGACGGGTTCAGAGTTTATCGGTATGGTTTTATGGTACTGTCTGCTCTCAGAGAACGGCTCAGAATACAAGTTTTCTCTCTCTCTCTCTGAGTGTAATGGTTATACTGCCATGACTCTGTCAATTGAAATTGGATAATTTCATTTCTTAATGGTTGTATCACCATGATTTGATCAATTGGAATTAGGTAGCGTATTTCCTCGAGACCAAATTCAGTGATTGTATGACCGTGACTCGGTCAGCTGGAATTAGGTAGCGTATTTCCTCGAGACCAAATTCAGTGATTGTATGACCGTGACACGGTCAACTGGAATTGTGTAGCGTATTTCCTCGAAACCAAATTCAGTGATTGTATGACCGTGACTCGGTCAGCTGGAATTAGGTAGTGCATTTCCTCGAGACCAAATTCAGTGATTGTATGACAGTGACTTGGTTAACTGGAATAATGTAAGGAATTACCCCCAATAGAGAGGCATTGGGTTTATCTCCATAGCTGTTGGTTCTTGAGTTATACGACGTTTTCTCCGCTACTGTTTCATAACGATCTTGTCTCCGCCATCTTTCCTGTGAAATAATGTGTGTATAATCCAAGGCCTGCAGCGGGAGATACGATTTTTCAGGTGTGATAATGCTGCTTCTCCGCTCTAATGAGGCCAAGGCCTGGTCAGGGTTGACAAAAGGTTGGGTATTTCAGTCCGGGACGCGTTCTGAAGAGGGAGAACGGGCGATCAATGCTTCTGTACTGGGGTGGGGCAGCTAGAATACACATCAGGTGGTTGCTCCGCTCCAAAAGAATTGCGCATCGGTTGTTCCGTTGCTATCCGCGTAGAACCAATGGATCTGAAACTTTTATCTCGCCATGAACCTATTTCTTTTAAAATTGAAATGAGATCCACAGTCACAAACACCGATTTCCCAGATAAGTTTTCTTCTGGCTTGTGACATCCGGCATAACGCAGTCAGGAACGTTACTGGGTATGGCTTAGATGATTGGAGTTTGATTCCCGGCTGGGGCAGAGATTTTTCTTCTCTGCCACTTTCAGACTGGCGCTTGGGCCCATACAGCCTGCTGTCCAGTGGTAGTACCCTGTATAGAGCGGAGGAAGAGTGAACCTAGTCACGCCTTGAGTAGGAATGCGTGAAGCTTTACTTCCACTCCCCATGGCCTGTTGCAAATCAACATAACACTGCTCTCTCTCCTCTCGTGTGAGAGAGTGAATAAATAACGTAAATTTTTATGAAAGGTGTGCATAAGAATGTGTGTAAATCGAGTCTCCATTCAGAAGTGGATATGCATTTTGTTGTTGTCGTCGTGTGAAAAGGAAATAGATAAACGCCAGAAGTTTGAAAGCAGTAAAATGCGAGGTGCTATTGTAGTTTTCAAACACGTCTCCACGTCACTTCATAAGGAAATTCGTTGAGGTGGAATAACATGCATACGCAGACGTGAACCTGTGTAGGTGTAGACTCCATGTAAAATCATTCCCACCTTCACACAGGAAGAATTGAAGCAATCTTATTGGTGGAGCAAACACATCTGCACCAGACGCTGCTGTTTTGTTTTCTTTTGACTGAACTACGTTCCCCGACCAACTGGTTATGATTCTTCGCTTATTTAACGACGTTATTTCAAATCCATAGGATTTATACCGTATATTAAGAAGAGAAACAAAAATTGCGAGTAGATAAGGTTTTGAAAGGCCTACTTTAAGGTACTTCTATGCATTCACTTGGAGGGAGTGAGGAAAGACAGAAAACATACCAAAAAGCTAGTAAATCTCCTGAGATTCGAAGCTTCCCGAATACAATTTTCAAGGCGGTTGTTAGAGTTTCCTTAACAGTCATGATCTTTTTAGGTCATGCGGTAACGTAGTTGGTTGAGGCACTGTGCTGCAAGCCGGTAGGTCACGGGTTCGACTCGCGATGAGGTCATTGGATTTTTCAATTGGCCTAATCCTTCCAGCCACACTGTGGCCCAGGGGTCGACTCAGTCTCTAACAGAAAGGCTGTGGCTATCTTGTGGGTCCACAGAACTCTGGAATATTGACCATCTGAGCAACTAATAGCATTTCAAGAAAGATCCTGCTGTGTTGAATTAATTAGTTTAGGTAATGTCGATGGTAGTGGCCGCGAGGTCTAAGGCATGAACTTTCTGTGTGTGTGTTGTCCTGTGTAGGTAGCGGCCTTGCGACGGGCTGATCCCCCAATCCAAGGGGTCCTGCCGACTTTGTATAGGTTAACTGCCAAGGTCCAACAAAGGGCTGTAGAACCATACACAGATAGTTAGGAAGTAAGTTGGATTTTCGAATATCCTCCTTTGGTGAGTTTATAGGGCACTTTGTCGGAAAGCAACCGCACAACCTGCTACGCAGTTCCAGAATTTGTGACACGTTCGCAGACACAGTACAAGATAATATTCAGGACAATAACGTTGTGTCTAAAGTAGGACTATTCGAATCGCAAATGCCTTCGGAACTTTTTATGTAATTTTACTTTATTATCCTGACCTCATCATCAAAACAAGGTAAAAACCGCCAGGAATAATTACTTAATTTTGTTGTATAATTATTTATAAGTGTTATGACTCATTTATATTGATCTATGTACGTATTTAAATTTTTAAGTAATTAATTTAATTCTAGCACTCTATCTATGTGTCTCTCTCTGTCTGTCTGTCTATGGCTATGTAGTCCTCTTATTAGACCTTGGTCGCTTTTTCAGTTTCTTAATCCTCCACACAGTCGGTAGGACTCCTTGGACGGGGGATCAGCCCGTTGCAAGGCTGCTGCCCACACACAGAACAACACAAACAGAATAAACGCACACAGACATCGACGCCTTGAGAGGAATACGAACCCACGATCCCAGCGTTAAAGATAGGGAAGAGAGTTCATGCCTCAGACCGCGCGGCCACTGTGACCGGCTATCGTGGCACTCGAGGGTCCACAAATATACGTTTGTAATTGAAATAATACCGTTAAAGATTATTAAAAACAGCCCTGTAGTTTTCGGTAGATCTGTTAAGAACTTCTACATTTCTAGAAGATTCTTGTACGAAGTAATACAGTATGCCCTTTTTGTTTCTGTGAGCACCACTCATGTGGAAAGCTTGAACGGTCTTCCCATCAATTGTGCCGGCCCCGTAACGTGTTAGTTCGTTCACGGCAGCGCTGTCTAGAAAACGTCCCACTTGTTTGACAGGCATGATCTGAAGGCTGGCTTGATTTCTTGCTACGTCGGTTGCCTGGCATGTGTTTCTTTCCCTTCTCCCCTTCCATGTACACATCAGATTCTTACACAAGATACAACTTAGATAAATTATTTGGCCATCATCAACTTTTGTTTTCTTCTCTGTTTTCATTTACCGCAAAAAGGAAATATTAATGACGCCGGCTGAGGTGCCTGTGATTTTCGTATATTTAGACGCTGGCTTCTCTCTTAGTAGACCCGGCTTCAGTCCTCAGTGACTTCATATGGGATGACACTGAAACAGATTTTCTCCGAATTTCTTCGGCTTTCCCCTGCTAATCATAGTTCTACCATTGCTCCATACTTATCTCTCACCGCCGCCTGAGTGTACAATTGTCCTGATGCACATTATCGTACCTTCTGTCTTGGGCTCTCCTGTCAGATGCCGGAATAATAAGAGTACTTCATGTTAGGCCACGGCCGCCGCCTTGCAGATCCTTTTTAAAATTATTATTTACTGATCAACCCATCATTCGATGCTAACCAAGTAACAGACGAAATATAGTCCTTCTGCAGAAGTTAGCAGTTGCTCAACTAGTCAGAAAGTTCCCAACATTTTGTGGAACCAAAGATTCATTACCATATTCACAAGAGTCCGCCAGTGGTCTTTATCTTAAGCCAGATGAATCCACTCCATACTTTCCCATCCTGTTTCTTTAAGATCAGTTTTAATGTTATCCTTACATTTACGCATAATCCTTCGAAGTTGTCTGTTTGCTTCAGGTTTTCCTACCAAAAGTTTCCATGAATTTCGCTTCTTTAGCGCGCGTTCTACATATCGAACCAATCTCATCCATGATTTTATGATCCTGATAATAGTGCTTGACGAGGAGTTCTAGGCTCATGGACCTGTAATCTGTAATAGTGAGAACGTCTTAAATAAACCAAAAATTAAAAGAATTAAATTACCGGATCTGTATTCATGATTATCCTGCTGTTCCATTCATCTGCTTTAATACTATATTTGAAACATTTTCGTCAAGCAGAGATTTAGAAATGATGTGAGTTCGTAAACAGTGGGTCGCGTCATTCCCCAGAGTGTGACTACTGCCCACATAGTGCTGAGTGGTATTGAATTATATGTGCGTTCTTTCTTGTTTGTTCCAGTATTCCCCAATGTGCCGACAGCGCCGGGGATGCCTTGCCAAGGAGAGGACAGTAAGTAGATCAGCCCGCGATATCGGGTGTTCAGATAAATTCTTGACGAGAAGTTTTGGCGAGTAACGGGTTCTGTCACATTGTTGGGCCGTTCTTTAGTGGAAAACGATCTGTAGGTCCGTGGTCATACTTCATGCATCACATTACAGACAGGAAACAACATGTAGTGCGAGAAATGTTAAGAAAACTTTGCTGTGTTTGAGAGAACTGCTCCTGTATAAGCCTTTATTGCAGCCCGCTTCTCCCGTTCAGTGTGAGGCAGTCTCATTTGTATTGGCCACCCACAAGTAGTGACTTCTCACACCGTGAAGACGTGTGGGGGAGTGGATATATAGATCCACGTATTCTTGACTTCGGCACTAGTTGGAGGTGAGTGGGCAGCTTCACGACCCGCCCGCTTTACCCACGGCACCAATTGGATAGGAGGCTGGGTGGGCCCAGAACCGATCTGGACGACGTGGAGAGGAGAAAATCTTGCTACTACCCGGACTCGAACTGTGACCCCTCGGCCGTCCGGCCCATAGCCAGTCGCTATACCGACTGAGCTATCCTTACCAAGCTAATGAAAGGTTGATTCATCGTTGAAAGAAAGGTCCAGGCTGATGATGGCACTGCGAACCCGTTTCTGCCGAGCTGGTCTCGGTTTGGATTTTGTTTGCAGCTTGAAACGACAGTGAAGTTTGTTGTGTATGGTTGTCTCGGGAATTTCTAGTTTTCTGCTGATACGACAGATGGATTTCCCCGTCAGAGCTGAAAAAGCTCACGAAATGTCTGTGTAGCATATGAGGTTCTCGCAGCGGTGGTCACGAAGAGTATTATCTTCTGGGATATAATGCCGTGTAGTCCCGACGTTTCCTAGCAACGTGTCGCCTCCATCTTCAGGATCGAAGAGTAAACCAAGTAAGAAACCGGGTGACAGGTGACAAGCAGAGCTATGCTTGACTCTCCTTTCCGTCTTTATTCGCGCTGGTTTCTTGCTTGTCTTGTTCTTCGACCCTAAAGATGGAGGCGAAATGTTACTCCGAAACGACCGTTGATTTTCAACTGACTACATGGCGTTATATCCCGGAAGCTAACACTCCTCACGACCTGCTGCCTGTGTTTGTGCTGACGCCCTTCCTATGCAAGACATTGCCTGTTACGACCGGCACCTGCAGGTACTTAGCTGTTCGTATTCCGGCAGTAACAACTTTGTACCGCGCTCGCAGACTCCGTCTCCCAGTTGTCTGAACACGCACTGAGACTTCTACTGTTGCAAACCCACTTTGCGTTTCCGCGTAGTTTGTTCAGCGGCGTCAGTGCCACGAGTAGCTGTTCCGAACTATGAAACTCAACGGTTCTTTCAAACGTAGGAAACTATTCTTAATATCTCTGTCATATTGTGTTTTATGTATGTTTGTAATGTGATGAATAATTATGGTCATCCTATATTTCTTGGAAAGCTTTTGTTAAACAGATTTTCCACCTGATCTAACTGTTTAAATTGCATTTATTTGAGTCTTATACAATTTTGAGCATAAAATGGACCTTTCTGGAGAGTTTTAAGGGTTTGCGGCGAAGAGGAATAGCTCACTCAGTTTTAATGAACTTTTAGGTGACAGTAGACGGAATACCAATAAAGTGATTAACTAACCATTGACCGATAACTTCATTTATAGAAACCTTCTTGAAAATTTTACACTTATTCGCCTGATCATGGAATGTTTCTGTTTCACAAAACCCTGATGGCTCATCATCATTGGACCTTATCGTAATATCCCACTCCGGTATATATCGCGCTGACAGAAATATTTGTCTTCTCTCGTATCCTGTATAATTCTCCCTAGTCTTCTGGGCGACTTCTCCAGCGCATCGGTTGTGCGGTTCAGTATGCTTCTCATCAGGACTTTGATCATAACAAGAATGTCATTTTCTGATATTGGATTTAAGGTTCTACTATACCGTGTTGTTTGATAAGCGGTTAACAGTACATTGGAGGGCACTGCTGCCTTTAAGTTCAGGGTAGAAGTGAGCCATGCTGAGGAGGAAGCGGTGTATAGGAGAGGAAGGTCACGGAGGCAGGGAGAGTGCCAAGTTTGAGCTAGGGATGGGGAAGTGGAAGCGCCGCCCCAATTAGGCAAGGTTTTGTTATGTAACTCCATTGTAGAGAGTGTACCTGGATCGACCGTAATTTTGTTAGTAAAGAAATTCCTTGCTCTCACACTGTCCGACTGTGCATCGTCTTCATTAAGCCCCTAATTTCACTCTATCTTGATCAAGTTAATTCAGTTTCATATCTTCGCAACCTGTTTCTCTGTGTTAACGGCGTGTAGAGCCGTTACTATGCGACGACCGCTAGGCAGGCGGATATTTCAGAGCCGTTTCTGGGCAACAGTTCGGTGAACACATTCCCGTTGCTAGGCAGCACATTCTTAATAATGTAATAGTTGAACTACAACAATGGAAGACATTATTTAGAAAATAACAAAACTGGACTCAAGGAACCTTGGAATGCTTTTGAAGAGACTGTGGTGAATGAGTACCGAACATGACAAGTGGCCCGGCTCCCGAACTGCTTGATGATAATGGAGGTGGTGGTGGTGGTGGTAGACGAAGAAAACAAATTATGAATCTCCTGTTTTGTATTTATGTAAATCCCCGCTTTACGTCTTGTCTCTTAGACGTATTTTAAGAATTTATTATTAAACAATAGAGTTACTGAATGAAAAGGAAGTGTTTCTGGTGCAAACTGGTACAGACTGTTTGAAGTTTTTTTTCATTTGTTTTGGATTGGATCTGAAGCTTATTAAAATTTAATTGTGTCTTCCACTGGCTCGACGAATACAAATTATTCTATATAAAAACAGAAAAGGAATGTATTGGCTTCTTCCATTTTGTCAGATTCAATTACCTTTTATATATTTCTCGTCTGGAGTGTTAATTTGCCATAATCCATTCATTGAAAGAATTTACATGAAAATGGACTAAGGTCCCCCAATGTTAGCGATAATACAGGGTTATTAAAAAAGAATTAACCGATTTCATGACGCATTGCTTCAGTTCTCAAGCATCGTCATGGAATGAGTCAGTGACCATTTGAAAGAGGAGTTATCTAAATTGTGAATGGCTGCCACAGGGGCGCTGAAGTCGCGTCGTTCTTCCGGCAACGTTCAGTTGTTCGTTTACCCTCGGAATGGCGAGTCCGCACCAAAAGGCGTTCTGCGTTCTCGAGTTCGCGAAAACAAATTCGGTTGTCACGGTGCAGCGTGCTTTTCGAAGGCGATTCGGCATTAATCCGCCCTGTCCTAAGAACATTCGACGGTGGTTTCGACAGTTTCAAGAGAGTGGGTGTCTGTGTAAAGGAAAACGTCCAGGACGACCACGAGTCTCGGAGGAACAAGTGGCGAGAATCCGTGCTGCGTTTGAGAGGAGCCCGCGGAAGTCAACAAATCGAGCTAGCCGTGAGCTTGCGATCCCTCAATCCACTGTCTGGCGTGTGCTAACAGTACGTCTACATTTGAAACCATACAGACTGCAGCTCGTTCAGGCACTTACCAATGACGACAAAAGGAAGCGGATGGAATTTTGCGATTCGATGCTGGAGATGATGGAAGACGAAACCTTCATTTCACGTTTAATTTTTAGTGATGAAGCGACTTTTCACTTGAGCGGCACAGTCAATCGTCACAATGTGCGTATTTGGGGAACAGAGCACCCACATGAAACAGTTGAGCACGAAAGAGATTCCCCTAAGGTGAACGTCTTCTGTGCTGTGTCTCAGGACAAGGTTTATGGTCCCTTTTTCTTTGAAGGAAACACCGTTACAGGACAAACCTATCTCGATATGCTCCAAAACTGGCTCTTCACTTCACTGCAAGCAGATTCGCATGACTTCATTTTTCAACAAGATGGAGCACCGCCCCATTGGCACCTGATGGTCCGAGCTTTTTTAAATGAAAAAGTGCCCCAGCGATGGATTGGTCGGAAGGGGGCCCAAGACCTTGCTCTTTGTGCTTGGCCTGCGAGATCCCCAGACCTCACCGTGTGTGATTTCTTCTTGTGGGGATATGTAAAAGATCACGTTTATGTTCCACCGCTACCCACTAACCTCGATGAGCTTAAACATCAAATAACAGCAGCGATTAACTCAGTGCATCGTGATATGCTGATACGCGCCTGGGAGGAATTCTCTTATCGCATTGATGTTGCCCGTGCTGCAGATGGTGGCCACATTGAACACTTGTAAGACAGGAAATAAAAGTTGATTATGAGTAGAATACTTGCGACTTGGCTGGAGTTTTGTATTACTTTCCTTTAATAAAATATTGCGTAATAAAATCGGTTCATTCTTTTTGAATAACCCTGTATAATTTTTCTATATCTGTTGTTTAATAAACCTGTATGAATTGGAGGGATGTTATATCCAGCCCAGCTCTTTGTTGGCCCAAGAGAATACTTAAGTATGAGTATATTATATTTGAGAGTCATTAAAGTAAAGGACCATGTTGTTATTCAGATAATCAGACCCAAACTTTTCAGCACAAAGAACCAGGTTCAGTACCAGCCCATGCAGAATATTTATTTGACAAGAGTGGCACTGGGGTCACTGGGGTCACTGGGTTAGGTAGACTGGATTCAATTGGCTCAGAGTAGGAACCAATGGAGGAGCTTTTATTAACGCGTTAATGAACCTGTGGGATCTATAAAATGCTGGGAATTTCTTGACTGACTGAGCAACTGTTATCTTGCTGAGAATTACTGCATTCCATGGAGCTAGTTTGGTTGGTTAGTTGGTCATTTGGACTCTCATTGTTCCATCAGAGGTCTGTAGTCTTTCTTTAGTGACTCTGAGGTGCGCAATAAGTGTGACCAACCAACACATCCACAGCCTTAGTCTTCAGTTTAGACCTCATCTCTGACCTGACATTTAACTGTGTTCGGAATAAAGACAAAAACCGCGCATAATTGTTCACTTAAGCCCTTCAGAAAAAATTGTTTTTCATAATGACTTAAATTAAACCAAAATCAGAATGCCTTGACATGGTTTATTGCAATTTTACAGTCCAGAATTCAAATCAAGCCAGTTTGATAGTTTGGATGTCATTGCTGATTTATTGGCAGATATGACAAACATAACAGATGTTTTTTAAATTGTATTTTAAACACATCTAAATGTGTAGACTATATGAATGGAAAGAAATATTTTGCTAATTTTTCAAGCTTTCATATCAAGGCTGACACAGGACAGTAATGTATTGAGACGTCGTAATCATCATTGGCTCAACAGTCCTCTGTGGACCCTGGCTTTCTTTAGAAGCTTCAGCCAGTCTTCTCTATTCATAGCCACATTCCTCGAATTCTTCACTCTAAAGCCCCTGATATCCTGCATCACACCATCCTTCCATCTCAGTTTGGGCCTGCCAATTTCCCTAATCCCTTCAGGTCTGGTATCAAACACCTTCATGACTGTACTACGATTTGCCATGCATATAGTATGTCCAGCCCAGCTTAATCTACCTATATTTATATATTTAGGAATATTTGGCTCATTAAATAGCCTATACAATTCATGGTTATATCTGTTTCTCCGTGATGTATTCAGACATACCTTAGCAGAAACAATCAGGAAACCCCTGAAGTAGCAGATTACAAGGCCGTGACAACTTAATTTTTACACCTTACACGGAAAGGTCTGTAAGAGAATTTAATTTCGCTCCTTAGCAGTCAGTATAAGCCCTTTTGTACATGAAACTCAAATCAAGCTATATAAGATTTTAATAATGCTTCATGTTGTATGACAAATGCAAAGAATGTTCCAGAGGTGGTGAGGAAAATGTGGGAAAAATGTTCTTCCAGTTCATGACAGTTATGAAGTTGCACTGCCACGAAGTACAGTTATGATGACACTCCATGGTTACAACATTTCAAGTAATATAGAATGGCATTTTACTAATCAGCACTTCTCAGAAAGGTGAAGGAAATTCTAACATAATATCAGTACCAAGGAGAAAATGTTCATGTTTTCTCATAACTCCTTAGAGCACTTACATTTGTTGTCCCGCATAATTATGCATAACAAGTGACAAACAAATGGCAAACCTCCCCAGTGATTAAAAGTGCAAGGAAGACCATTTGCATTGTCACTTTATCCCCCCCCCCTCATTCTGTTAGACTTCTTTCTCTGGAGTTGTGTAAAGGCAACACTGGATGGTATCCAAGTTCAGGCCCTTATTAACCTAATTAATGCATCCAGAAAGCTGCTAAGAACATCTTCCACGCCTTCAGATGCCATTCAACATTTGTCTGCCTCAAGCCTATGTGAAAGCTAAAGGCAATTGTTTTGTACAAATGTTGTAAGAGGTCTAAGGAATTATTAGAAAATATTAATATTTGTTTCCATTATTAGTAAGGGACACACAGTAACGTAGTTGGTTGAGCTGGATAAGGTCCTGGGTTCAGTTTGTGTGAAGGTCATTGCATTTTTCAATTGACCTAATCCTTCCAGCCGCTTTTTGTCCCTGGGTTCGACTCAGCCTCTAGCAGAAATTAGTACCAGGAATATTCCTGTGGGTAAAGGATGACCAGCACCAAAGACTGACACCCTCACCACCTACTATGAGCCATTTTTCTAGAAAATGTGAGTCTTGATGTCTCACAACCCTGTAGGCCTCCACATCCTGTTGCAGGGATAGATTTACTATTATTCCTTTGACTTCTCAACTGTTGGTTCATTCTGGTAATATTTGCTTGACCCTTGGGAGAAGTTCTGAAGAGGAAACATTGCACATTGTTTCAGGTGTTATAATTAAGGAGTTTACCATCAGTATATTCACAGTTTTGTAATGGCTTAAATCAGTACTGGTTACGTATATTGGGTATGGGTTGTAACACCATATAGTTCAGAGAGTCCAACATTTCAAAGGAATCACTTCCATGTTCAGGGTCAAAGGATAGCACTGGAGGTGGAGGCACTGTGTTCCTCTGAAACCTCAGGCTGTCTCCAAACTGCATGGCTACTACCGTACACTACATAGTCACCACCATGAGGACCTCAGATACGACAATATTGGTTATGAATTTTGAAATGTTTGTTTACATTTCCTGCTCATACAGCTCCAGTAGGTTTTGACGTCTTTTCTATATAATAAAACTTGTAATTTTTTATTTTTGTTGCTATTTATGTCTACAAACAATATAATGTCTTTAGAGCTGATTAGGTTTGTGAACAGTGAATTTATAACTCCATGGAGTGCAGTGTTTGTACTAATATTTGATATGATGACCTACTGGGAATGCAAGGACCCAGTTGTTAAATATATGGAGCTCTATTTACCCATCCTTGTTATGTTCGGATTTGGGGGGTTTGTTCTTACATCAGATACTTCCGTTACCAAGCAAATTCACTGAAGTAGTAAAACTTTGTACCTGTACTCGGGAGGTATGTAATTCAAATCCCAGCGGAGACCGTGACTGTCCTGACAGGGGTCTCTCATGGTGTCTGTCACCCCCACACAGCAGATACCAGGAATAGCGCTTTTAATTTGGCCATGGCCGTTTCCTTCCCCATTCTTCCCAGTTAATGTTTCCGCCAACATCCTACCGTAAGTGCTATAAAGACTGAGCTACTAACAATCTCATTATATAAACATAAATAAATAAAATTTCTACTTTCTTTATAGGCTTTTTTCATGTTGTGTGTTGCAGGGAGTATCTACAGGCGGGGGGCGAGACGATGGAGGAAGCTGTACCGTGTGAATGGACACATCTTCCAAGCCAAGCGGTTCAACCGAGTAAGTTCTGATTTCATTTTGCTGGTGTATAGACTTTCCGAGATCGTAAAAAGGAAAACACTGAGTGGCTGAGAAACAGATAAACTAATTGATCCCATAGAGCGTGTCCTCTCTCAACTTACAAAGAAATTCCTTGCATTTTATGAAACCCGAAGCGTCATGACTGTGTTCACAAGAACTCACCTAGACTTGATCATCCTGCTATTATTTGATGAAGAGTACAAATTATTGAGCATACAGGTTTCTTCACGGGGGACACGGTAGCATAGTTGGTTGAGGGGCTATGCTACAAGCCAGAAGGTCGCGGGTTCAAGTCCCGATGAGGTCACTGAATTTTTTTCATTTGACCTAATCCTTCCAGCTGCACTAAGTCCCTGGGGTTGACTCAGCCTCTAACAGAAATGAGTACCAGGAATTAATTAAATAATTTTCCTGGGGCTGACAACCTTACCGCCATCTTTGAGCCGATTGTCTATATAATGTGGAACCCTCAACGTCTCACAACCCTATGGGGCTTCACAGCCTGTTACAGGGATAGCTTTACTTTTACTTTTACAGGTTTCTTCATCCCCCTGTTATTTCTGTGAGGTTAAGATATTCATCTCAGTGCACTGCTCTCAAATGCCTCGGTCCCTTTATAAAACAGTTTCAGGTTTAATGGTGAAGGGTGTGGCCTTTTGGATTGTAACACCATCTATTTTGGAGAGAGCCCAACATTTTCTTAGGACTGAAGAATCTGTTGTGTTCATGTTTGCCTTACTCTTCTACCCTGAAGAAGAAAGGAGTGTGTTCCTCTGAAATGTCAGACTGCATGTAAACTATATGGTGTTACAGCCCAGAAGGCTGTACGCTTCATAGCCACCACTGTGAGAACCTGAGGTCCAGGTTTAATGGTGTTGACAGCAGCATGTGTATGATGTCAAGAGGTCTCACAGTCCTGCAATCATGCCAACCATTGTTTTGTAACCTTGTGACTTAATGTGCTGCAGTACAAAAGAGAAGCTCAAGGTAGTTAAATGAAGGGATCTTGAGGAAGTGTCATGCAGAGATAATCTCACATAATTATAGAAAAATTGGTAGGAGATCTGTTTTGTTGAAATAAATCGTGGTTTTCTGTAAACTATCATCTCTCAGTGATCACTTAAGAACATTTCAGTTATGTTTTAATGTAAATGTGACACTGCGGGACTTCATCCAAAAGAAATGTATTCCTAGTTGAGTATATAGTATATAATGTATTGGTATTTCTAATCATGGTGTCTTTTAAGCAGTGTAACCCATGCAGTTAGCAAGGTTTAGTTCCTGGAACTCATGTGTGAATTCAGAGTAAGAATCTCATTTTACAAGCGCAGAAGACAGTGGGCATTGCTCTACTGGAGAACTGCAAAGAGCCAACATAGAAACAAGTTGCTCTATAGATGTAAATATAATTAGTGTTGTTGCCCATTTACTTATTTAATTTTGTTATCTCTATTTCAGCGAGCGTTCTGTGCCTTTTGCCAAGACCGCATCTGGGGTTTGGGTCGCCAAGGTTTCAAGTGTATACAGTGTAAATTATTGGTTCATAAAAAGTGCCATAAATTGGTACAAAAGCCCTGCAGTAATGAACAAGTGGAGCCTATATTCAAAGAAGAGACAAATGGGGAGACACCAACACTCAGTAAGTTACCAGTAAAATCATCCAGGAATAAGAAATTGTAGATCTTCCAATATAAATTGTATGTTTCAGCTAGACTATATAGATCTGGTTGCATAGTAGCCTTTATTCACAGTTTAACAATTTGGAGAACACAAGTTCTTAGTATCTGACTTACTTACACAGACACACACATTTCATTGACCCAACATTCGTCCATCAATGTGTGAATATGAAACATGTCAGGAGATGTAAGATTTGAGGTTTTCACGGCAGTGACTCCATCTTCAAGCCACCTGGTCTCACTGTCTCTTCGCTTGTGGATTTCTTATTTTTCCTTCTATCCTGAAGATGGAGGCAATATATGTTCCTCCAAAACGTCGGTTAACACCACATCTACACGGTGCCATATCCCAGAAGACTGCTTTCTTCATGTCAGGAGATGTACATCGCAGTGCAACTTGAGCAAAAGAGACATTAAATAGCAGTATATACACAGTACATACAAGGTGGTTCAAATATGACTGGGACTGATTCTTTTTTTTAAAAACCATAATTGCCAAACACTTACTTGCACATGTCAGTCTTCAACGTACTCCCCTCTGGAGTCCACACATTTTTTCCAACGTTCTGGAAGCATCCTGATGCCCTTTTCAAAAAAGTCTTGTGGCTGGCGGCGTATCCACTCCCGAACAGTCTGAATGACGGTGTCATCATCCACAAACCGCATGCCTTGCAAGTCTGATTTGAGCCTTCCGAACAGGTAGAAATCACTTGGGGCCAAATCGGGACTGTACGGCGGATGTGTCAGAAGGTTCCATTTCAATTTCCGGAGGGTTTCCATTGTTGTTTTGGCCGTATGGGGGCGTGCATTGTCTTGAAGGAAGGCTACCCACTTTCCACCACTCTTCTTCTTGGATCGGATCTTTTCCGATCCAATGGTGGTAACGTTCCCACCTCATGACTCGTAGTACGCGGGTTCAAAAACCCGGCGTAGGTTGTGGAATTTTTAAGGGCGGAAAAATTCAGGGAACAAGTCCTCCAGGAGGGACTTTAAGCCGTGGGTCCCATGTCGTAGATTTACGGCACGTAAAAGAACCTCATGTCTCTAGGAGACCTCTGAGCAAAATTAGGCAACATTTCCCACCCAAGTAGTTTCCAATTCCTCCGGTAGATGGGGGACCTCTCTGACAGAAAGGGACTAACTATTAGATACCACTGCCAGAGGAGGTTGGAACCTTGCTGGCAGAAAGGGGCTGATAGTAAGCACCAGTACTGGTAGGGTATGGATACAGTAGAAATTAAAGGGGGATGCACAATGGACCACTAACTGGTCTAAGTGCATGGGGAAACCCACCCCCTCAATATGGAAATACGGAATAGACTTAAAAAAATGCATCACCTTCATCTTCAAACTGCTGTAGGAGATGACTGACAGCTTGCATGCACACCATTTTGTTCACATTCGTCAAAGTGCATGGTACCCACCGTGCATTCACCTTGCGATAGTGCAGGTGGTATTTCACGATGTCTTCTACACTACCAACACTGATGGACAGCATTGCTCCAAGTTCCTTGATAGTGATGTGCCTATTCTCATGAATAAGCACGTCTGCACGATCAGTGTTTGGCTCGGTGATGGATGTTCATGGCCGACGATCATGCGGTTCATTGTTCACACGCGCTCTGCCCTCTCTGAAGCACTTACACCACTCAAACACACGGGTCTGTGAGAGACACTCTTCCCCATACTGTTGTTGGAGTCTGTGGTGAATTTCAGTGGATGGGATGTTTTCTCCAATGAGGAATTTGATCACAATGTGTTGTTCCACGCTCCACGGTACCTTCTGTTTGCTCATCACTCTCGCAACTCCCAGACAGGACTGAACAGGTTCTAACCTGAACAGGAGGGAGGGTGGGGGTTGTGGCTTCACTCTCTCAAGGTCACAGTTGCTGCACAGTGCGGCTTGTTTACACATAAATCAGGACTGGTCATATTTGAACCACCTTGTAAATGACAAAGTAAGTACAGAATCTAGTATAAGAAAATGTGATTATACATGATTAAAAAGTAGACGATACAAAAGACTGAAATAGAACCTAATAATCTGATATAAACTCTTCTGTAGAATAAAAGACATGTGTAAGAAGATAATTCCTTAAAGCCATCTTGAAAATTGCTTATGAATTTTAATCTAGATATACTAGGTTGGCATTTTTTGTACTGAATACTTTAATAACTCTCTGGATAGCAGGAAGTATAGCTACAGGTATGTGTAATCTGCAGTTGGACTCAATGCTTTCACATTTGTAAAATAAATTGTAGATGTTTCTAGGAACAGAATTGTATGAACAAAACAAAAAAGCAAACTCTGTGGCCTGTAGTCCGCAAGCAAACTATACCAACTGAGCAACCGCCGCTTGTTGGCAAAGTTAGTGCCAACTTTTGCAGATAGAGGGTGTCGCGTGGTCAGCACAACAGATCCCCATGGTCTTTAATCTCGGTTTTCTAGACCGGAGCCGCTGTTTCCTTGAAATAGCTCCTCAGTTATCCTCACAAGGCTGAGTGGACCCCGTTCCAGACCCACTACTTCTCGGAAAATCTAGTATCACCGGGAATGAACCCTGGACCTCTGGATCTGTAGCTAGGAACTCTACCCACAGCCAGGAGAGAAATTCATTGTGGACACAGATGCAAGTAATGTCGGAATTGGAGGAGTTCTCTCTCAAATCCAGGACGGAAAAGAGCGTGTCATAGCTTACTTCAGCAAGATGCTAAACAATGCAGAGAGAAACTACTGTGTCATCCGTCGAGAACTACTTGCCATAGTGAGGACACTGGAACATTTCCACAAATACCTCTACGGACAACAGTTCCATCTGCGAACGGACCACTCTGCGCTCACCTGGCTTATGAGTTTCAAGAACTTAGAGGGACAAACAGCGCGCTGGATACAGCGCCTACAGGAGTACAACTTCACTTCGGAGCATCGTCAGGGCCGAAAACATAACAACGCCGACACCCTTTCTAGACGACCCTGCCAAGAGCAATGTGCACACTGCCACAAAGTTGAGATGCGGGCAGAGGTAAAGCAAATACGCGTTATTGGAACCCTACTGGCAGCCGGCTGGGACCCTGTTACTCTAAGAGAGGAACAGCTAAAAGACCCAGACATAGGGCCTATTCTACAGGAAGTAGAAAACGGCCAACGACCGAAATGGCAGGACATCGCGGATCGGAGTCCCATGTACAAGAGCTACTGGGCCCAGTGGAAATCGCTCACTGTGAGAAACGGCGTACTAGAGCGTGACTGGGAATCCGTCACCGGAAGGCGTCAAGTAGCCCAGGTAATTATTCCTCGGTGCAGGGTGAAGGACGTTCCGAGCGAACTGCACGGTGGACCGTCAGGAGGTCACTTCGGTGTCAACAAAACTTTGAATAAGGTTCGACAGAGATTCTACTGGCTCCAAGCAAGAACCGATGTTGAGAAATGGTGTCGACAGTGTGACACATGTGCAGCCAGTCGGGGACCGCGGACCAGGAATCGTGGGCAAATGCACCAGTATAATGTCGGTGCTCCCTTCGAGAGAGTAGCCATTGATATCGCAGGGCCCTTCCCACGAAGCGACCAAGGAAACCGATACTTACTGATCGCTATGGACTACTTCACCAAGTGGCCGGAAGTGTACGCCATCCCAAATCAGGAGGCTTCAACAATAGCGGAAGTTCTGGTTGCCAACTTCTTCTGCCGCTTCGGCATACCTCGAGAGTTGCACAGTGACCAAGGCCGTAACTTCGAGTCTCATCTACTGAAAGAAGTTTTGCAACGCCTGGGAGTGAGCAAGACGCGCACCACACCCCTGCACCCACAGTCGGATGGCATGGTGGAACGCTACGTCAAGACCATCGAGGAGCACTTGCGGAAGGTCGTCTCATCGCACCAAAGGGACTGGGATGAGAGGTTACCCCTCTTTCTCCTAGCTTACAGGGCATCCACTCACGACACTACGGGCCTGACGCCTGCTGGTCTAGTGTTCGGACGAGAACTACGGCTACCCTGCGACCTGCTGTTTGGAGCACCCCCAGACAAAGAACAACCCACAACCGATTATGCAGCAGACTTAGTGGATCATCTGCACGACATCCACAATTATGCCCGGCAACACCTGAAGCTTGCCAGTGACCGGATGAAAACTCGATACGATAAACTGGCCAACTCCACAGGTTACAACGAAGGCGACCGAGTCTGGCTCTATCGCCCAACCCGCAGAAAGGGGAAATCGCCGAAACTACAAGCATCATGGGAAGGTCCTTACAAAGTAGTGACCCGAATAAATGATGTGGTTTACGGAATCCAGAAGACCCCTAGGTTGAGGATGTTGGTTGTACACCTCGAACGGCTTGCGCCTTATCATGGAGCTGCTCGAGACGAGCAACCATAAAAAGGGGGAAGATGTGGCGGTTGGAGAGCAGAGCAGCAGGGAGAAGAGAAACAGTAGAAGGACACAAAGGAGATGCTGCAAGAAGAGCTTCCAAAGAAAAGGAACGGGGGAAGTACGGTTAGGCTATTCGGGACGAACAGCCTTAAGGAGGGAGCAGTGTGACATGTTGACCCTACCTCCCCAGCTGCACGTAGCGGTAGCATAGCGGTAGCGTAGCGGTGTCTCCTGTTGTTTCGGCTATTCTTGCAGCGACTGTTCTTCGTCCGTTACAATAGGATAAGCATATTTATTGAGTTCCAGTTGCCTTTGCCAGCAGTAAACATGTTAATCTGTGTGTAAAATTTTGGTTTCTGTTATGTTCATGTAGAATATTTGAAACTTTTTGACATAATTTTAGATCACATATTGGGCGTTGTTGTTGTTGTTGTTGTTGTTGTTGTTGTTGTTGTTGTTGTTGTTGTTGTTATGGTGAATTTTCAGGTACTCCAACTTCTGAACTTTTACCAGATCTAAAGGAGTTTCCCGAGCCCCCATTGGACCTTACTTCAGATTGCATCCCCGTTGAGGACCCAACAAAGAGTAAGTCATATTGTCAATGAAGTTCCAAGTCCATAAAAAGTAATTAAGAATATTATACAGAGGCCTTTTGTAAGTCTTGAGGTTTTCACAGTTGTTCAGACTGCACCATTCTGAGCTGTGACACTGCATAGTCTTGTAAGTGGATACCAACATTTTGAAGGAGTATGCTGCCTCCGTCTTCAGGGTTGAAGTGCTAAGTCTGAAGGAGGGAGTGGGCCTTCACACCCACAGGAAAGGAAGAGAAAATTGAGCCATTTTCAGGGCAACAGTGTGATGACTTACCGTCCTGTTCACCCAGATTGGGCTCTAATTCCTCTTCCTCCTCCAGTGGATCAGAATGACAGCCTTCCTTGCAGTCTGCTTATGTAACTCGTCCAGTTGCCCACCCTGCACACTGAACAAGCCCAAAGATGGAGGCAATGTGTTCCTCAGAAAAATTAGTATCTGCCTATAAGACTACATTGTGTCATAACCCAGCAGACCACAATATGATCCATCTTAACAACCTGATGGTGGCTAAGCCAGTAAAAAATTTCTTCACTTATATGGAACCCACCCCCTCGTTGGTGTCTCCACCTTATCGTGGTGAGGGGGTTTGAGTATGCTAAGGACCCTGAGAGCTATACCAGCGGCAGCGTAGCTACTGGCAGGGATTCCATTGCTGGACAGGTCAAAGGTTGGGCATCAGACGAAGAGAGACACCAAAAACCAAAAACTGATGCCGGAAGCAGCGTCATCAGCAGCGACTTGAAGCACAGAACAAATGATGCTCGAGATGGTTCAAGTTCGTATAGCAACAGGCGTGACCAGAGTGGTTTGAACGGCTGTTGTACTGCGATGTGGAAAGCAAATGGGAAAACTACCACATTATCACTTTTCCTGGATAGTCTCTTTCCAAAAACAGAAGATCGCATCAAGTGGAGGAACTGTTTTGGAAGAGATTGTGGACCTGTCGTCTGACAGATTACTGATGAATGAATGAATGAATGAATGGAACCCAGAGATTCATTACCATGTTCACAGAGCTCAACATTGGACTCTAGCATGAGCTATACATCCTTTCTGACATCTACACCTAGTTAGTTAGTTATTGGAGAGGGTGGGTTTCCCCATGCACTGAGACTAGTATTGGTCCATTGTGCTTCCCTCTATGATATTCTACCAGTCTCTATACCCTACCGATACTGGTGCGTACCATCAGGCCCGACCGAGCCAGCGAGTCCGGCCTCTACTGGCTTAGCGGTATCTATAATGCTTCCCCCATCTATCAGAGGCGTTAGAGACTACTGTTGGGCGGGAAATGTCCTTGAATTTGGCTCAGTGACCTTTGGAGATATGAGGTTCTTTTACGTGCCGTAAAGCTATGACATGGGACCCACGGCTTAAAGTCCCTCCAGGAGGACTTGTTCCCTGAATTTTTCCGCTCTTAAAAATTCCATGACCTCCGCCGGTTTTGAACCCGCGTACCACGAGTCATGAGGTGGGAACGTTACCTCTAGACTACGGAGGCCGCTCGACATCTACACCCAAGTCTTCCTTCAGATTTTCCACCTACATTTTTTATACATTTCTTATTCCTCTCATGCATGCTGCATGCTCTGCCATCTCCTCAGTGATTTCATCACCCTAGTAATATCTGATGAAAAACGCATGTTACCTGAAACCTCATTAAGCAGTTGTCTCCAATCTCCTGTTACCTCTCTCTCTCTTTTAAATATTCTGTTATCACCCTGTTTGTTCCAGCAGTTTGAGAGTGTATCAGACAGTCTTTTCACGGTTTCAGGATGACATTCCTGTGCTGTCTTGTCTTTGGTTACAGGTGTTTTCAATTTGAAACACTTGTAGGAAACTGTGGATCATAAGTACTTGTTTCTTTACATATACATATTTGAAATCACTTATACTTAGTTATACCTGCAGTGTAAATCTTTATGTGATTGCAATTAGTAGTCCTCTGTGAAGTACTCTTTATTGAAACCTGGAAAGTAAAAGTGGGAGACGTGAATACCAAACACACAGTAGCCATTTTTGTGTTTGCTAAATGCATTTGTTTACCATATACTGCTCGCTTTTAATTAACCGTCATACATTGCAATTTTGTTAAAGAAAATGCTTTATATTCGATCCAGGTGAGGAATCTCTAGAACCAGGCTCACAGCGACAGTATTCCCTGGTTGACTTCGAACTGATCCGTGTTATTGGCAGAGGCAGCTATGCTAAAGTGTTAATGGTGGAACTCAAGAAAACACACCGGATATATGCCATGAAAGTCATTAAGAAAGCCCTTGTGACGGATGATGAGGTGAGTGAATTACATTAATTTTATTGACTAAAATGTACACAGTGTGTTATATGAATCAAACGTTTCTTTACATAGATCAAGCATCATGTTACATTAATACCTAGGGCAGTCAAAAAGTTCCCGGAATTCCCCTGCAGACAGAGAACAAGCGATAAGATAGTGCACACACTGTTGTGGTGGGGAGCTCAGCATGTCTGCTCACAGGCACAGCAGGTCTGGACAGGTTTCAGTGTGCAGTGTCATTACTGTTCCATTTGAATTAGACGTGAGTGTTCGTCATTCGGCGCAATGTCACAGTTTGAACAGCGTGCAATCATCCAAGTTCATGTCCAAATTGGGAAAATCTGCTTCAGAGATGCAATCGGCCCTACAGCAAGTTTACGATGATACTGCACTAAAGAAATCTGCAGTTTACGACTGGTTTTCCCAGTTTAAGAATGAGCAGGAGACGTTAGAGGATGACCAGCACAGCGGGAGACCTTCAACATCCAGAACCAAAGAAATGATTGGACAAGTGTGAAAACTGATTTGATGTGATCAAAGAATCACCATCGCAGAGTTGGAGCAAGAAGTTGGTATCTCTCATGGATCCATTCCTGCCATTTTTTCCAGTGATTTGAAGATGAGACGCATCAGTGCGAAGTTTGTTCCAAGGTAGCTGACCACAGATCAGATGGAATGTCACATGATGGTCGCTGGTGATCTATTTGACAAAAGTACGCAGGACCTGGCATTTCTCAAAAAGATCGTCATTGGTGTTCACCTACGACCCAGAGACGAAGATGCAGTCATTGGAGTGTCACACAGCGTCGTCTCACCGCCCAAAAAAATCATGCCTCCTCAGATCCAAAGACATAGTGCTGCTCCTTGCATTCTTTGACATCGACAGTTTGGTACATCATGAGTTCGTACCGCCTGGACAGACTGTTACTGGCCATTTCTGCATGCAAGTTTTGCAGAGGTTGCACGATGCGGTTCAGAGGAAGCAGTACAACAAGTGGCAGGGACAGTGGTTTCTGCATCACGATAACGCACCGAGCCACACATCGCTTGTTGTGCAGCAATTCCTCACCAAGAAAAACATACCTGTCCTCACTCAACCATGTACTCTCCGGATCTCACTCCAAGTGACTTTTGGCTGTTCCCTACTCTGAAAATGGCCCTCAATGGGACACGTTTCACAACCATGGAAGACATCAAATCAAATGCAATGGCTGAACTCCAGAAGATTCCAAGAGAAGCCGTCCACTGCTGCTTCCAACAATGGCAGGATCGATGGAGCAAGTGTGTGTGCAAGAGTCCTACTTTGAAAGTGATTAGATAAGCATTGCCATATGTCCTACCATTAGAGTGCTGTACACCATTCTGGGAACTTTTTGACTGCCCGTCATATATCTTTCATATACAATATAATTTTGTCAACAATGCAGCTACATGTCGTGAAGGGAAGGAGTGATAGTAATAATTGCATTGTTGATGGAATTATGTTGTAAATGCAAGGTCTTCGTCTTACTAGAAGCACAGACTTGTACATATTTCATTTTGGTTCTTTTCTAAATTTATCACTTCCTCCCCTGTTCTGATGGTCTGTGAATGTTATGCAGATTGACTTAATTGCTTTAGTTCTGAGTGGAACATAGGGCTCCTGTGAAGCTTCTCCATCTTCTCCTCTGGTTTGCCAATGCCTTAACCGCTCTCCTATATCTGTTATTTCCTGTTCTGTTGTCCTTCTCCAAGTTTTCCTTGGTTGTCCTCTCCTTCTAGCACCTGGGGGTTCCAGTCTAATGCACCTTTTTTCTATGGAGCCAGCTTTTTCCTTAAAGTATGCCTGTACCATCTCCATTTTCTCTTTTTAATTTGGATGTCAATTGGTTCTTGTTTCGTGATTTCTCACAGAGAGTTATTTAATGTTGTGTCTTGCCATCTTATGTTTAAAATGCGTTTTAAACACATATTCACAAATCTTTATAGTTTGTTCATGCTTGTTTTTAATACTTCCCATGGATAGAAACAAATATGATACAAGATTGTGTATACACCCAGACAGCTAAAAAGTGAAATAAACTTTGTTTCCATAACATGTCATATAGCTATGTGACATTGAGAATGTTTAATTTCAGGAAACTCTAGACATTTTCAAACTGACACTAACTTCTTTGGAGCAGAGTTGTTCTTGAGAAGCTAAATACTCACTCATCTAGTCAGTAAACACCCTGCACTTTCAGTGCTGTGTTCACACCCATCCACTGCTGGGGTCTCTCCTGAACCATATGAATTGAGTCTACACCCTCACATCACCATTCTTTAGGGTCCATTTTAATGTTGTCCTACCAGTTATGTGTTGTTCTTCCCAAATGGTCTCTTTGTTTCAGGTTTTCTGATTAAACTTTTGTGTATTTCTCATTTCCTCCATACAAGTTATGTGTCCCATGCATCTTATCCTCCATGATTTGAATGATCACCATGTTTAAAACCAATGTATCCTCTTTGTTTTCAGCTTAAGAAGTGTGCCAATAATCACTGAAACTTCTTCAGCTTTTCCCAGCTTTCAGCCTCACGACAGCTGCGACTGCTACTGTATTTTATGTTGCAGGATATTGATTGGGTACAGACAGAAAAGCATGTTTTTGAGACAGCCTCAAACCACCCCTTTCTGGTGGGACTGCATTCGTGCTTCCAAACACCAAGCCGACTCTTCTTTGTCATTGAATTTGTTCGAGGAGGAGATCTCATGTTCCATATGCAGAGGCAGCGCAGGCTTCCAGAAGAGCATGCACGTTTCTATGCAGCTGAGATCAGCCTTGCTCTGAACTTTCTGCATGACAAAGGTTTGAATTATATTCCTAAATATTACATACATTCCTGTTTTGATTTGAATTACCAAGTACCACTATAGAATTTCATTTAAACGTGTTCACTTAGATCTCCAAATCAGGGTCCTAGAGGGACAGACTTGACCTTCCTATGATACATCCTGAGTATGTCATGTATAGAATACCTAATAATTTATTTTAGATTGTTATGCAACTTTCCATTATACTGATGCCAACATTTATAGAAACAAAACAAACAAAAAAATCTGTGTTGTTAGTCCGCAAGCGAACTATACCGACCAAGCGATCACCGCATGTAGGCAAAGTTAGTGCCAACTTTAGCGGATAGAGGTCGCGTGATCAGCACAATGAATCCCCACAGCCATTAATCTCGGTTTCCTAGACTGGAGCCGGTATTCCTTGAAATAGCTTGCTCCTCAGTTATCTATTTATAGAAACTTCTAAGAAAAGTTGTGAACTTTCACATATTAACTTGTGGTTAAGTAGGTATATATGTGTATATGTGAGTTTTTGTAGTTTCGCACACAGTAGTGTAGTTGGTTGGGGCACTGTGCTACAAGCTGGAAAGTCGTGGGTTCAAGTCCCAATGAGGTCATTGGATTTTTTCAGTTGACCTAATCCTTCCAGCCACACTATGGCCCTGGAGTCGACTCAGCCTCCAACAGAAATGAGTACCAGGAATATTCTTGAAATGTTCTTGGGGGTAAAAGGCAGCCAGCGCGTAGGGCTGACAACCTTGCTGCCATCTATGAGCTGATTGTCTAGAAAATGTGGGAACCTCAACATCTCACAACCTTATGGGCCTCCACAGCCTGTTAACAGGGATGCCTTTACTTTTTTTACTTTTACATAATCTGTCACCCCTTTCATGTGATCCTTCAGCATTGTGGGCCATGAGAATTCGGTCATTACAGTGACTGGGTGTGGGTTGGATGGTCAGGTTCAACCTCCTAACCAGAAGGTACCAAAGACTCATCACTTTTGGTAGGCAGACACATCATGAATCTTCCTCCATCTAGTGCTGTGGTCTAGAAAAGTGTTTCTGCCCAGTACCAGGCCCTGGCATCAATTATACTGTGCCCTCATCTTGTAGAAAAAAGAATTTATTGGGCTGCAGTCTGACAGAGGTTGAGAACCACTGGTCTAGCTTTATCTTCCAGTCTCTACATGACTTCACTGTTTGGATCTTATGTATGTAGCTAAATTGTAAGAGGAGGGGCAATATCGTGGAGAAATTGTGTAAAATTTGGTGCTTTCGCAGCAGTGAGTATCAGGATTCTGATCTTCTGGAATGTGGTACTGTGCAATTTGTAGCACATCTACCAAACAGTACAGTGTAATAATCCCAAATGACTATAATATGGAGGAAACAGGTTTAATATTTTGATTCATAAGATTTTTTTCTGTCTGATGAGCCAACAAGCGTGAAGGGTTTGATCCTTTTTCACAAGCACAATGAACATAATGAAATGTGATATAAGTGGCCAGCCACTTCCAGTGCAAATTTGTGTAGGAATAGCTGATTCTGTACAGCATGTTGGATAGCCAGAGTTTAATTCCTGGTGGCGTCAAGAGCTTTTCTGTACTCCACAGCATCCAGCCTGGCTCTGGGACCCACCTAGCATCCTGTCCAGCAGGAGCTTGGGGTAAAACGGCCGGGGTGTGAAGCTGACCACTCATCTCCAGCTAATGCTGGGATCAAGAACAGTGGAACTATACCTCCACTCCCAATTACGTTTTCATGGCATGGTCCTTAATTAATTAAACATTTGGGCAGCTTCACATTTTACCTTTCCTTTCTCTTGGCTCTAGCAAGGGTAAAATTAGGCTGCACCATAGCTCAAGCAGTTAGTCACTGGCTTCCCACTGCAGTGGCCCGGGTTCGATCCCGGGTCTGGTCAAGTGGGATTGGTGGTGGACAAAGTGGCGCTGGGGCAGGTTTTCTCTGAGTACTTTGGTTTCCCCTGTCAATCTTCATTCCACCAATTGCTCCACAATCACCCTCACCAATCATCTGGGGCTGGTACAATAGGCCAGAAGTGGCCGCAGTACAAGGGACTTAGTCCCTCCCACTAGCAATAAAAAAAGAGGGTAAAATTGTATGGAAGTTAGGAATATGAGGCCTCACCATGGTACGGCTTACATCGCTCTCTGTCATGTCCCCATCATAAAGCTACTCTGTCTTACAGAAATATACCTCAGGACTGGACACTTCCACTACCAGTGGTGTGTACAGAGACTGTGAAGTTCAAATGGATCATAGGTGGAGCTGTCAACACAATAACAGCAAAAATTTGTTCCACACATCACCATTTCTTCACAGTCATATTTATGGCAAAATTTCATGTTAATAAGAATCTCACAGATATTTCTGGTATTAAGATTCAGACATAGGCTCTTGCCATCATGGTTATCACACATAAGCTGATATTAATGTCTCAATTTGTCTTTTATATATTTCATATCTTAGAAATTGATTGGGAAATTAATTTTACCTAATAACCCAAGATTTCACTTCATGATGGATGTTCTGAAACCAAGCAAATACACAGAAACTTCAGTAGAGTATATCATAATACAGTAAAACTTGGTTATAGCAACATTAGTTTCTGTGACACCTTGTCTATTGCATCAAATATTCAATGGTACAAACTAATTCATCATAAAGCAACTGTTTTCATACCTTGCTTAGTACGACATGCACAAATGCATCAACCTCGTATGTAACGTCATTTTCATTCCTGAATTTCTCTGCTATCGTGGGAAAGTTCGATGTGTCTGCCCACCCTCACTTTCTCTACTTGCTGACATGACTGTCCTGGAAGAATACGACCGTGGGCTGCAAGAGGAGCGTGGGTTTTATGCGAAAACAAGGGTGTGGGGTGAGACTGCGTGAATAGTGCAAGAGGACGCGGCAGGTTGTTAACTGCATTCCTTTCCTAGAATCTCGTCTAACAGGACCTCACATTGTCTACTTACCCTATAGTGTTCCTGCCTAAACCCAGAGAAGTGCAGTAGCGAAAACATGGCAATGAAAAGGAAAGTTTTAAGCATTGAAGAGAAAGTTAAAGTGATTCGTGAAATAGAAAATGGAAGGAAAAAAGCTGATGTATGCCGCGAATTTGGTTTGGTGAATTCTACAGTACAAACGATATGGAGAATCCGTATTAATTCCACGTTAATGTTACGTTAGTCTGTACTTAACTACGTATTTCGCTAAAAAATGTAACATTTTAACTCGGTTTTTGGTAGATTTTTACGTGACTAACATAAGGCTACTGTGGAAGTGCCCATTTCGGTTACAACGACATTCGTTTATAACGACACTATTTTTAGGTCCCTTTGATGATGTTATAACCAAGTTCTACTGTATTATATTTCAGCATCCTGTTGCATTGAGGTATCATTTGTAGTCTTGTTTTCCATCTATAATGCAACAATTTATATTTTAAAAAACACTAAATCACATTTAAGCCACTAAAATGTCAATTAAATGTTTAAAATGCCATTAAGATATATGTACATTCAGTTTTTATGCTACATGTTTCATCCACATAGGGCCATTTTCAGGCAACAGCAGTCTACTGCACTGTGTACTTTTTCATATAGTACTCCTAAGGCATGTCATCATTGTAATCATTAATTCTGATGATGTAGGATGTTTTCTTCCTATCTTTTGTATTGCAGCAGTTTGTCCCCCATTTGCTGTGCTTCTCTCTTGGTTGTGTGCATCTAATGTTGCTTTGTGTTCCTTGTAATATATTTCAATGACATTTTAAACATTTAACAAATATTTTAGTGGATTAAATGTGAATTAATGTCATTTAAAATTTAAATTGTTGTGTTATAAATGGAAAACAAGACTGCAAAAGGGTATATCATCACAGTGCGAGATAGAACAGAAAAATGCTTGCCACTTGAGAATGGTGGCAGAATTCAGTGTTACAACTATGAATTAGAGATCATATAAAGCCAGCGTAAAGTGAACTTGTCTGTACCTAAGCAGCACTAGACCCTGAATGGTCCTGACAACAACACAGCACTTGAAGATGTTGATATCTTTTCTTTAATATAATTCAATTTGTCAGAGTAGCTCTGTGCGATGAGTCAAATGTCCCATTGCTGTTGCTGAGTATTTACAGTTTTAATCCTCTCAGTAACATCTTCATATTACCCTGTATTATATCGGAACCCACATTTAATGTTTCTTCACTGAAAATCTTCCTATGCCATTGATCCCAATTTAGTAATCTTGGTGTTAAAATTCTTCCATTTAGGATTTTCCCCAGTGCAGTGTTGAAGTCTACTGCTCCCTGATGAAACCTTAAATGGCTGTGTCACTCTCAGTGCAAAGGAGAACAGTGTACAATATGTATAGAATTTGGGGCTGCAGCTAAGCCTTTATTTAATATTCCTTTGTTTAAGTTATCCATTCATTTATTGTTCAGTCTCTTGATTTCGGCGAAGTTATCTCAGTGCAAAATTGTGTTCCTATATGTTAGTATCATTAAATTAGCATGCAATTATTTTAGTAAAGAAAGACTCCACTGGCTGGCTTTTGTTTATGTAGTAATGAATCCTCTGGTTCCATAAAGTCAAGAAATTCCATGACTTCTTGTTGAACACTTACCAAAACATGGCACTGTGAAGTTGATTGTTGTTAGTCACTGAGATAACAGCAATACTCTTAGCCAGGTGCACAGCATCATTGTCTGTTTGAACATATCTTGACTGGTTGGCATAACCATAACGTTCTTGACTCAGATTTGAAAGGTGCTCGGTTCAGATCTCAGACAAGACATTGGCTGTCCTCACTGAGGTTTTTCGTGGTTCCTCATTTCTTCCAGTCAAATTCTGGGATAGTACCTTAATTAGGCCATGGCCGTTTCCTTCCAAATCTTATCCAGGTTATCATCTGCCATCCATCTGTTAATTGCTATACTACGTAGGTCGTACCAAAAGTCATCAGCAACTCTTTGCATGCAACCTGGGAACAGCAGACGAAAGAGAGTATGGTAGTAGTTGGAACCAGCTGTTGTGTTAACCTTGAGTGTCTTGTGACATCAATAGCTTGCATCACGTGACCAGTATCAGTGCTAACAAAATGGCCGACGACGGTATGTCGTTTTGCCAGCGTGCTGTCATCAAATTTCTTGTGAAAGAGGAAATCCCTGCTGCAGAAATTCACCAGAGACTTCAGCGTGCTTATGGAAGTGTGTGCATGGGTGCGGGCAGTGTTCGAAGATGGGTGAAACATTTTAAAGATGGGAACACCAGCATCGAAGATGAGCCTCGGAGCGGTCATCCTCGAACAGCCTCAACTGAACACAACAAGGAAAGAGTGGATGAGATCATTCAAGATGACAGGCGTGTGACTGTGGACACAATAGCCCGAAAACTTGGAATAGGGCACAGTGCAGTACAGGAGATGATTGAAAGCTTGGGCTATAGGAAATTTGTGCTCGTTGGGTCCCGCGGTTATTGACCGAAGACCACAAAGGTCAGTGAAAAGCCATCACCTCAGAACTGCTGCAGAGATATCGACACGAAGGCGATGAGTTTTTGCTCTGTATTGTGACAGGTGACGAAAGCTGGTTTCACCATTTCGAGCCTGAAACGAAACAGCAGAGTATGGAATGGCACCATTTGCATTCTCCATCAAAAAATAAGGCAAAGACAGTGCCACCAGCTGCGAAGATGATGGGCACAGTCTTCTGGAATGCAGAGGGGTTTATTCTGGCCGAATTCCTGGAACCTGGGCAAACCATCAGTGCTGCTCGTTATGTCCAGATGCTGCACAAGCTCCGTTGTGCATTGCGCGATAAATATCCGGGACGAAACATCATCCTGCATGACAATGCTCGCCCCCATGCCGCTCACCTCACATTGGAAGCAATTGCAAAGATGGGATGGGAAGTTCTTCCACACCCCTCCTATAGCCCTGATCTGGCACCCTCTGACTACCATCTTTTCGGGTTTGTGAAGGATCAGCTGCATGGACAACGTTTAGAGACAAGGGAGGCAATTCAGGAAGCAGTGCATCAGTGTCTTCGGATGGCTGGAATGGAATTTTACAGAAGGGGAATTTTCAGACTCCCAGAACGCTGGGAGAAATGTGTACAAAAAGTGGCGATTATGTGGAAAAATAAAGAAAGGTCTGTAGATTGAGGTGGTATATTTCGTTTGTCAATAATAAAACATGTTACTTTACAAAAAATTGTTGCTCATGACTTTCAGTATGACCCTCATATCTTATCTCCTAAAAATACCATTAAATAACTTACAAATAAGTAAATAAACTCTCCCTAACATTTTATAATTTAGTGAAAATCTTGTCAAACAGGTATTATATATCGTGATCTGAAACTAGACAACGTTCTCCTAGACCATGAGGGCCATATCAAGTTGACAGATTATGGAATGTGTAAAGAAGGGATAAGGCCTGGTGACACGACCTCCACGTTCTGTGGAACACCCAATTACATAGCACCAGAGATACTCAGAGGAGAAGACTATGGATTCAGGTAAAACATTTTTATGTGTCATTACTCATCATCACATTGAGGACTCTTGAAGTATTATTGCATATTACACAAGTTAGTGTTTATTTATTTATGAGCATTATCCATCGCCTAGATTTTATGCCAAATTCCCATTGTTTTAGAAGATGGTTCTGCCTCTTCCTTCAATGAAGAGTTAGTCATAGTTACCTTAACTTTATTAACTCAGCTATGGAATTGCATTTTTGTGTTGTTTTTTAATCTTACTTTTACCTTAAAATTGCCCTATTTTAGGAAAATGGTGAGAAAATAATATACAGCAAAAGGTTTAATATCACAGTCAGTACCTCAGAGGATTATAGCAATGAATGACTGTATGATGGTGAATAATGATGAATTGCAAAGCATGTGGTAAGAAGTGGTTGTGGCCTAAATTTTGCCTGAGGAGAACCATGAAAAACCTCAGTCAGGATGGTCAGAGCCTTGGTCAGATTCAAACCAGGTGTCTCCCAAATAAGAGTCTAGAGTCTTCCTACTCTGCCAGCCCATCAGAAGCATTACTGCTTGGTTCAACATGCTTGGTGAATTGTTTTTTATGTAGTATAAAATCCAGTGGGTACCAGCAGCTGTTTTCACTTCCCTCTAGTGCTGAAGTCAAGAGTGGTGGATGTATACCTTCACTCTCCTATAAGTCATGGCTTGATGCCTAATTAATTAAGCACGGGGACAACTTTACCTTTATACAGTAAATTATTATGGTTTTCCTGTGTTGCCAAACAGTTGTGTATTTTGTATCATTTGTAACAGGCCATCTAGGCATGGGAATGGTGAAAACAGTTTAATTCCAAAGCAGGCTTAACGTTCAAATAACTCTTTGTTTGCAGTGTTGACTGGTGGGCTCTGGGAGTGTTACTGTATGAAATGTTAGCAGGCAGAAGCCCCTTTGACATTGCTGGTGCCTCAGAAAATCCTGACCAGAACACTGAAGACTATTTGTTTCAAGGTAAGCCTTCATTACTGGTTTTCTATTATTAAGAATGTCACTTACTTTACCACTGTAACACAAAGCTCAGTGCTACCCACACCAGCACCCTCGAGTGGGCATCATACTAAGCTGAAGAGTCCCATCTTCTGAGATATAACACCGTTTAGTCTGTTTAAAGTCAGTTTGACTTTCAGTGGACTGCATGGCATTATATCCCAGAAGATAGGAATATTCATAAGCACCATTGTGAGACCCTCAGATCGTCATATGAAACCACTACACAACTTCACACCTTTGGTCTGTCAAAGCAGCATTACCAGAATGATCCTGTATATATTCCCTGACATCTGTGTTTAGTCCCTGGATTTTAATACACTGATTATAGTATGTGTGGTGTATAAAACACATATTTCATCAAGAATACTCTCTTGTGGAATGTGATGCTGTGTAGTCTGGTAGATGCTTCTGAAGTTCATGTACCCTGAATATGGAGGCAGCACATTCCTTTGAACTGTCATTAATGTCAGACTACATAACATCACATCACAGGAGACAGTGTATTAAATAGTTGCTGCAATGAGCACCCCAGTTCTCACACATACTCCGTAGCCATTAGTCTGCAAGCAGATTATACTGACCGAGTGACCACCGCTTGTTGATGAAGTTAGTACCAACTTTTGCAGATAGAGGGTGTTGTGTGATCAGCACAGCAGATTCCCGTGGCCATTAATCTTGGTTTTCTGGACTGGAACCACTACTTTCCCATTCAGGTAACTCCTCAATTATCCTCACGAGGCTGAGTGGACCCCGTTCCAGGCTCACTACTTCTCAGAAAATCTGGTAGCGCCATAAATCGAACCAGAGACCTCTGGATCTGTAGTCAGGAACTCAGAAATTCTGACCACTAGATGACAGAGGCAGTTGGTTCTAACCCATACTTAGTTTTTTCCTTTGGGTGAAGTGAGACAATCCACTTTGTACATCAGCCACAAATTTGACTATTGTACGAGGCTCGTCCACAAAGTAAGTTTCCCTGGGGCCGTTTACAGGAACAAAACACAATTTCATGGAAATATTTATTGCAACAGATACAGCAACTGTTCAGCTGTTTTTCAACATAATCGCCACCGGAATTGAGACATTTGTCATACCGTGGGACCAACTTTTGAATACCTGTGTCATAGAAGTCTGCCGCCTGGGATTGGAACCACTGTGTGAGAACCATCTCCACCTCTCTGTCATTCTCAAAACGCTGACGGTCACTGGACAGGAATTTCTTGAGGTGTAGGAGAAGATGGAAATCACTGGGAGCAAGGCCCGGGCTGTAGGGTGGATGATTAAACACCTCCCAGCTGAACTCCTGCAGGAGACTTGCTGTCCGTCGAGCCGTGTGTGGCCTAGTGTTATCGTGCAGGAAGACAATACCAGCACTAAGCATCACGCGCCGCTTGTTCTGAATGGCCATCGCATTTTCTACAGTGTTTCACAGTAACGCTCAACATTCACCGTCTCACCTCTGGTCAGGAAGTCGACATGGAGAACGCCCTGTCTGTCCCAGAATACTGTGCACATCGCTTTCCGCGCCGACAACATCTGCTTGAATTTCGTCTTACAGGGATATCCACTGTGACCCACCTGGCGCACAATTTCCTGAACAGCAGGTGCTCCGTGACAACTTCATGCAACAAGGTGCGGGAAATCTGTGGGACATGACTGCTGAGTTCCGCAATTGTGACGCGACGATTCTCCATAATGTGTTCCCGCACAAGCTCCACCAGGTCGTCTGTAATGATGAATGGCCACCCACTGCGCTTCTCATCATGCACACTTTGTCGACCTGCTGAAAATTGTCTGCACCAGCGATGCACCATCTGCTTGCTCATGACGTTAGGCCCATAGACCCAGCACAGCTAACAGCTATGCTCTGTGCATTCAAAAACTTTATCACTGACCGCACTTCACAGTCGGCGGGAGTTGGAATACGCTGCAACGATGCTAGTGTGGGAACGCGGGAAATTCCGTTTGTGCATGCGCCATGCTATGTCATTGCTCTATCATGTACGTGCAATCGCTTCACGCAATATAAGGTTTGCTAGCTGTGGGATGTGTGGGAAACTTAATTTGTGGATGTGCTACGTAGCAGCTCCTGATGATAGACAAGTATGGAGCAGTTGGTGGAATAAGGATTGGCAGGGGAAACCAAAGTACTCGGAGAAACCTGCCCCACTGCCATTTCGTCCAGCACAAATCCCACATGACCTGACCTGTGATCAAACATGGTCGCTTCAGTGGGAAGCCAGTGACAAACTGCCTGAGCTATGGCAGTTACTTTCTTACCTACTTAGTGGCTCATCATTGATAAATCTAAACCCTTTAAGAGCCTGAAGAAGTAAAATAGATTGTACATCACTTGTACATAATTGTATTCACTGATGTGAAAAGCCTTGTATTTGACCTCAGCCAGATCTAGTGCAGATTTTCTTAATCCATCACTTCTGATATAGCAAACTTTTGTGAATGTTGGCAACATCAAGTTCACACTGTAGTACTGAGTCACTGTTAAGCTGTAGGTCTCCTGTCCTAGCCATGAACATTATATTGCCCTGTTAGTGACTGTGTTATTGCACACTACCAAGCAAGTTGACATCACAGACTTGTAATCAAGTAGTGCTTAGTCCAAATCTCAGCTGGTACACTGGCTACCCCGATTGAGCTTTTCTTTTGGTTTCTTCCAGCCTTTCCAAGCAGATGTCTGGATGGTAGCTTAGATTAGATCGCAGCCACTTCCTGCCATATAGTCCTCATCATTACACTCAATTCACACATATCCACTGTAATATTATCCTCCCATCTATGTGTAGGTTGCATAAGTGATGTCTTACCTTCAAATTTTCCATACAAAATTCTGTGAGAACTTTAGGTTTAACTCTTAACAATATTTCTTATTTTCCACGTGTGTACTGCATGTCCCATCTAGCTTATCCTCCATGATATAATTACCCTGTCAATATCACGTGAGGATTACATATTATGATGCTCCTTTTCTATATATATATATATATATATCCCCCCCCCCATTTTCTGTTACTTCCTATGTGCAGTTAAGAAAAAAATCATTAAATGGACTAAGAAACATACAACATGTTTCACTCTCACATGGACATTAGATGTATTGGATGTAAATATGTTTATGTTCACAAAACACTTAACATTTGGGTTTTTAAACAAAATTGTATTTTGCTGTTTTCAGTGATTCTAGAGAAAACCATCCGTTTTCCTCGGTCATTGTCTGTGAAAGCTGCATCTGTGCTCAAGGGTTTCCTGAACAAGAACCCCGCTGATAGATTAGGCTGCCATCGAGAAACTGGATTCCTTGACATAGTCAACCATCCCTTCTTCAAAAGCATTGACTGGGAAATGGTAAGTTACATTTCAGTTTAACTTTTTAACTTTATTTGCTGTAACATCCCATATTCAGAGTTCCACCTAGTTGGAACATGCCTCAAAATCTCAGTCCACTCCAAATTCAGAAATTCAAAGAATGATTTTAACTCTTCTCTTCTTTTGGCAGAGACAGAGAGGTGGTTATATATCTTTAAGACTACACTTTCAACATCAACATCTAATCTGTCAATTGCAAACTTATTTGTGTTATGTATGACATGATTAGAGCAATTAGCTTTCAGTAAATTTGGGTTTTTACTTCACAGCAACTGATATACGGAATGTGTTTTTCCATAGTTCACATTGCCATTGTGTGCACAATAAGAAGACACATAATTTACATCCAAGTTGTGCTTTTCTAAGCTCTGCAGCACCAAACCAGTAATTGCCATAGACATGTCCTCAGCACTTTCAACAAAATCTAGAAGTTTATTCTGCACTCCCTTTAAAGGGTCGAAGTACCGGATGCAAACAGGGATCATTTTTCGATTGCTTCTGTTTGATGCATCGGTAGCCAACGAAAAAAATTTTGAAGTATTTTCTGGACATCTTAAAATAAGCACAAAGTCATTTACACTTCTAGGAGCAAGAACGTACTTCACTATCATTTCCGCTTTAGTGCGTCCACATGAAAGTTTGGAAGCAATCGCGGAATCACTGAAAATATGGGACACAAGTGTATTTCCACAGTCCAGACTGGAATAACTTAAGTTGTGTTTCAATGCATGATACACTAAACCAAGTTCACACGCGGTGCTGTTGTCATATTCTTCTTTATTGTTTAAATTAACAAAGTATTTTGAAAGTTTATTTGAACTTCCAGAATTACATTTTTCCTTAATTTTATATCCCTTGTATTGTGCATGTTGCCTCAGGTCACTTTGACCACCGTGCGAAATACTAAAATCCTTCCTACACAATGTACAAAATGCCCGGTTCTCGTCTGGTCCCGGCTTAAGCTACGAAAACATATCTTCCCATTTCTTAAGATATATTTGATTATGTTTGGCCTGGAATTTCAACTTCTTCCATAGAGGAGTCTTTGATGGATCTTCTTTGCCCTCAAACATTTTTGCTAACTTGACACTGACTTTCAAGCGAAGATTGAATGGATTAAAAATACACTATCACCAACATTCTCTGCTTTGGTTTAGAACCTCAAGTGTTGCCAACATCACGAAATGCAACATAACGAAAGAAACTATAACAATGTCATTTTCCAAGGATTACATAAATTTTATGATAATATTTAACCCATGAAATATAATTCGCAATGGACTTAAATAAAAAAATGGAGAATTATCCACTCTGGGTAAACAATAAACGGAGGAACAAAATTTGGGCGAAAACGGGGTATCTGGGAACCCAACAGGATTTATGGAAGGTGAATAAATGAAATGAAATTATAAACTCCCATGCATGATGCATAAACTGCACTTCCCGTCATGTAACATAATACTGTGTAGAGGTCTACTAGTTTAATTATTTTCCCTCATTCCAAATGTTATCACCAATCAGGTATGCTGCACCATTGATAAAATTCGCATGCTCTTAGTGGCTGGCAATGGCCTGGCAGTGGTGAAGCACAGAGCTGTGAACATGTCAGTAGCTTTAAAAACTTCCCTGTATAATAAACAAAACTGCAAAAATATATCATCAAGTATTTAGTCTCTTCTATGAGGAAGTATTTATTCAACCAGACCTTAGACCTCTCTTGCAGACTTCACTGACAGTAAAAGACTCCCTAACCTCAAAATGAAGAAGTTAACATTTCTGAATGGAAATGTATGCTATTAAACTGTGACCGCCTCTTTCCTGATTCCTGATTCCTGATCCAGTTTGATACATCTTTATATTCCTGTTCCTTCCTTCACAGTCTCCCTATTAGTTTACACATCTTTAAGCTTTGCCTCTTATGCACTCAATCTGCTTGGTAATTTCTTGTGATTGTCCTCACTTAGCTTTTTTTTTATGTTTATGCATGCAGAGGGTATAATTGGTTTCTTATGCACTTACTGTCATCATGTTGTTGGCAGTGGGCAAAGTGGCCTGCTGTCCAGGGTTCCCTGTTTATAGGGAGTTCAGATTGCACAAATGTTGGTACCATGTGTTCAAACTTTCTCAAACTGTTTTAAAGAAATCTCAAGAATATAGTTTTTTACTCTTTTTTAGTCTTATGTTATAGAAAAGCTTCCAATAATTACGCCAGTAATTTTGAACCAAAATAATTCATAGTCTTTTCCTATACTTTTTTATTTTAATAATATAAGTAAATATTGTACTGTAGCAAGTAGTAAGGTCTGTTCTTCAAAGAAATTGAAGAGAGAGTGTCCCAAGATTATACTTTGTCAAAGCCCACCATTGCTTTAAGGTGGCCCTGATTATTGTTTGAAATTTTACACTTTGTTTTGTGTAATATAGAGAATTCACATGCAAGTATAATTTTGGTTTTTAAAACATTCATAATTAATATTCTGAAGGGTTTCATGATGGTGTATTAAGATTTGTTTTCTCCTTTTCCTTTCTCAGAGATGTAGTGTATGACAATTTGTTGTCATCACAGAAAATTTATTCTCAAAATGTTGACAGATTTACCTGCTTTTGGCACCCCTTATTACAAAGAAGTGGGTTTTGGATACTGTCTGTCTGGCTGTCTGTCTGTATACATGTACATATCTGTGTATGTATGCATGTATGTAATGTATGGGTGGATGGATGTGGCCCTAATTAATACCTGATTAGCAGAACAGGATTTTTTCATGTGTTGTTCAAGAGTCAGTGTCTGATGAATATGAACATTCCAGCTCCATAAATTGCCCCAAAAGGCAAAATGGCGATTTTCTTGGAAACCTCTCTAACAGTTACAGTTGCATTTCAGTAATTTATGGTTAACATATCCCTAAATAAAACTGTATGGGTTGTACTGCAAGAAAGTAATTGTACACATTTGTAAGGGCCCAAATGCAAAATGTTGATTTCATTGTAAAGACCTTTACTGGTCAGACAGATTGCATTGCTGTTCTTTATCTTTATTTGGTAACAGACAGTGGTCTACCAAGCATCAGTCAATTTTGTTTTCAAGGTAACATAATCAAGGTTGATTGTATGTAAGATAGTAAGTGCACTGTCTTTGCACTGATTTTCTTGATTGGTAATGGTTACAATGAACTGGTTATAACATTTCATAGATGATATCTGCAAGAAGAAATGACTTCCAAATTATCTAGTTGTCATGTACAATATACATGAGGTAGTGAAAATTCTTACTTTTGCAAGATGTAAATTTGAAGGTTACCAGGCATTATGTCAGCCTGTATGGAACTGTCCACCTTGTCCACTTTTCTCTATATTCATAGTTACCCTGTATTTGAGTGCCTCTGAAATATGTTGGCTTGAAACATTCATAATTTTGTTTGTACCTGAAAGATTTGAAGTAATGAGGAATGAAGGATATTACAAAATGAGGAATTTGGTAATTTGTACAAGTCATGTAGATTTATGGTAGTTAAATCAAGGAGGAAGTGACTGGACATTTAGTTTTGGGAATATAAGAAGTGTGTTAAAAATTTTAGAAAGAAACTGATTAGAAGGTGAGAGGAGGATGGAAGTGGCTCAGGATCATATCCAGTGTTGGGCTTTCTTATTAACAGCAGTGGACTTCTAGTTCTGTTACCAGAGAGTTGAATCCTCTTTCCCTGTAGGTGTTGTGTAGACCATATTTTTCAGTACAAAAACTGGTAGTACTGACTTCAATCTGGCCATGTTTCGATGATCCCTAAACCCACTTTTGTGCAAAGTAGCAAACCCCAACTCAAGCAGAAGACTGTAGCACAGTTTTCAGATCTTCATTTCAACAACAACAAAAAAGATTGAAGAGTGCTATCCCAATCTTGTAGCATTCATAATACATACCAGTATGTCTGTGTCTAGCAGAACAGGCAAGGTACTAGGCCGAGGCTGTTTCAAGGCAGCCACCACTTATGTCAGTTCTGCTTTGAAGTGTACATTGCTAAGCACTGGTATAGGGGATTATTAAATCACAACAAGGCCCTAATCTGAATACATAAGAGTGCATTTCTTAGTGTTAAAGCTTCTCTGACAGAAACATCTTCATACAGCAAGTTTATTTTAGTTCTGAACACTAAGTTTATGTTGTAAAATTATAATAGTAGATGTACTGCTTCTGTTGTGACAATATGCTGATGTGTACAGTCATCATTTTTAATGGCTGTTCTCTGTGTTAAGCCCTGTGATCCAGTTACAGATGTTACAAAACAGTCCCTTCGATCATTTCAAAGGCTTTAATTGGTGTTTGATTATATATTGGATTCTAGCAGTACCTGGTCTTAAAAATTTTTGCTGTAATATTGTATGAACTATGTAATTAAATGTATGTTTCAGTAATTATTTCTTTATTACTTTAATGGTTGAAAAGGCTGTGTGTCAGCCTTATTGTTTTCAACTAGACTTTTTCCAAGCACTCACATACCTCCAGACCAGATTTTTTAACATGTACACCTGAACTACAATTCTACCCTCTGTTCTCTTAATTTTGCTTGGAACAAAGGTTTACTAGCATTTCAACCTACATTCTCTGAACAGATTCAGAGAACATGTAATGCACGTGTATTCAGTATTGCTGCGAAGAACAGATACTGGAAAGTAGTATATTAGGGGTTTGACTGAAAATGGTGAACAGTATGGCTCTTTAAAACCAGAGATGTAGTAACTTTATCATGTTGATTATATTAATACTGTATGTTGTTTCTTTTCTGGAACAGACAACAGGGGCTTGATGATAATCCTTTCAAATGAGTGTAACATTTGTAGTAAAAATAGATAACATCTAAAAACAAAGGCAAATAACATATTTTTTACGATTCATAGCTTTAGGGAAGAAGTGAATTGAGGATCATAAAACATTTAATTAGTGTGCAAGAAAGCTGTAAGTTTATAAAAGTTCTCCCATGATTCAT